TGTGATCCCTACTTCTACAACAGAGGGAAGTGGGGCTCAGGGACACAATAATGAAAGTGTGAAATGTGAGAGCATTTGAAGAATTGAGTTGGGTGTGGGAAAGCCCAGAGCAAAGCAAAACCCCAGAGCACTCCCCCAGACTCCATTTTCAGCCAGATTACCTTGCTCTAGGATCATGGGGGAAGGATCTGTGAAGAGTGTTTAGGGTACCCCAGGCCTTAAGCTAGGAAGGGGGCAGTCATGTCCCAGGACTCTTGTTCTGCAGACTGAGGGAGTAGGGCCATAGCCCATGGCATCAGGCCCACAATTCGTCTGCCAGGGTCCTGGCTCAGTCTAATGTTGTTCTCACCTCCTCCAGGCAGGCACCTGTATCCTGGAGTATGCTACCCCCTTGCAGACCTTGTTTGCCATGTCACAGGATGGGAAAGCTGGCTTTAGTCGGGAAGATCGGCTTGAGCAGGCCAAACTCTTCTACCGGACACTTGAAGACATCCTGGCCAACGTCCCTGAATCTAGAAACAACTGCCGCCTCATTGCCTACCAAGGTGAGAGACTGATAGGCCTGGAGGGCAGGAATCAGGAATCCCGTTGTCTCACAGGGGGTCAGAGAGCAAGGAAGCAGAGTTTTCTGGACTTTCCCACGTGGTCAGAGGGGTCGTGCGTGCCCATTTCCTCCTCTGGTAGACATCTTTTGCCACCTGAATGTGGCGAGACTTGACTGTGCCACTCCTTGGCTAAGTGGCCTTTAGGCAGGTCTTTGCCCTTTCTGAACATCATTTCTAAAAGCAGGAAGGTGGGCATCTGTGACCTTGACAACCACCTCTAGCTCTGGGTTCCCCCCAGAAGCTGTGGGTAGATTGGGAGAGGGTAAGGAGGCTGAAGGATCGCCTTAGCAGTTCCTAAGGGTACATGCATCCTTTTTGGGAGTGTGTAAGGTCTCCACCTAACCCCCACCCTACATTTCCTGTTCCAGAACCCGAAGATGGAAACAGTTTCTCACTGTCTCAGGAGGTTCTCCGGCACATTCGTCAGGAAGAAAGGGAAGAAGTTACCATGAGTGGCCCCCAGACTTCAGTGGTGTCTCATTCCTCTGTGCTGTCCCAAGAGCCAAAACTCCTCATCAGTGACATGGAGCAGCCTCTCCCCCTGCGCACTGACCTCATCTGAGGCATGAGACAGCCTGGTCTGAGCTGCTGCTGGGCCTTTAGCCCCTGACTGTGGTTTCCCTCAATGGCTGGAGGACCTCACAGAAATTTCACATCTCCAGATGAGTCCCATGTTCCTGGGCAAGCCATTTAGCCTCTCTGAGCCTCAGCCTACTCCCCTGTTGAACGGGATTATAATGGGTGCCCTGCCTACTTCATAGGGTTTTTGTGAGGACTAACCATGTAGAAATTTAGTGTCAATTGCCAGGTAAACTTAAGAGATAGGCCAAAGGCCCTCTGCATAAGCGAAACAGTTGTGTAGGTTGATCTGCTTAAGGTGCCCCCCGACAGTAGGATCAGGATCCATCCCTGGTGCATGAGCTGGCATTTTGGAGCCCACTAGCTATGGTGGGACACCTTGCACAGCCTTGAGGCAGGGGGAGGGGCTTGGACCTGCTTCTACTGAATGGACCAGGCTCTGCTGACTTCCCATGGGAGGTCTTACCTTCTTGTAGGAGGAAATGGGGGTGGATGGGTTGGGGGGGGGGCTGGAGGGGCGGGAGGAGGGAAGAGGGGGATCTGTGATTGGTATGCAAAATGAATAAAAAAAATTTCTTAATAAAAAAAAGAGAGAAAGATAGGCCAAGTATTTCCCATGGATGCTCCAGCATTCTCTGCTCCTTGTTGACCAGTCTGGGTGGTATCAGCAGACCAGCTTCTGGTCGTGTATGTTCAGCAGGAGCTTCAGTAGATGAATGGGGGGAGGGAGGAGGGCAAGTCAGGAGCATTTGTTTTGTTAACTATATGCAGTCACAGTGGGCCGTCCAGCCAGACCACCTTTTCTGCGAACATATCTAGTCTCACGTTTTTGGAAGGGTCCCTTCCCTTTTCCCCTAGCACTGGTATTTGTATGACGCTGGCTTACTTACTCTCTGTGGTCTCTTTATATCATGTCCCTTGTACGTGGTCCTTTGAAAGGCACTCCTCATATTACCCAGTTTGAGCATGCCGTCTAGGCTGCAATGGCTGAGGCACTGGAATGTATCACCTCTGACATCCACGTGTGGCTGCGTATGCAGCACACTTTCTGCATGCCTCCTCACCCTGCTACCGGGGAATCGTAGACAGGTGTCATTTCAATCCAGACAGAGCCCACCAGTCACACTGAGGGCACACCCCACCTTTGCTTTCAATGGCCTTGCCTCCAATGGCAGGCAGAAGGAGCCGGGCTGAGTGGTGTTAGCACACCGATCTCACAAGTGGTACACAGCTGTGTCTCGGGGAAGGGACCTTCCAGAGAAGCAGAGGCCACTGGACAGATGTTCACAGACGAGAAAGTTGTGAAAGGATCAGGGAGGTCGTATGTGAGTAGATAGGATGTTCCCTGGGAACACTGGGTGACAGTCACCTAGCCTACCTTATGGCCGTTGTAACAGCATTGTGGTAGCACTGTTACCCCCATCTGGGAGGGCAGACAGTTCATCTTTCCAGCTCCACCCAGGCTTACCACATGGCCGCTCTCTACCTTTGTTTCTGTCACCAGGGCTCAGGATGCCACTATGTATTTGTTTTTGTTTGTTTTATGTGTATGTGTTTTCTCCAGTACCGAGGATCAAATCTGCGGGCTTGTTCACATAGGCAAGCACTCTACCGCTGAGCCGTGCCCTCCCTCGGCCCTCATCTATTTCTCGAGTGTCACTTTGGAGAAATCATACATACATGTCAGAGGAAGCCAGTTGCTCTGAGGACAGCAGAGCCACGGGAATCAAGTGGCCTGGGGCGGAGGGGTGAGGGGGTGGGATGGGGGGTGGGGGAATGGGGGGTGGGCAGTCCCTTCTCTTTCTGTCACTGCCATCTTGACCCCAATTCTGAGGAGTCTCTATCACACACAGTGTTGACTCCTTCTCTAGCAACCAGCCCAGAATCAAGGGCCTCCCCAGCTTGACTCTGTTCAGCCCACCAGTCCCCAGGGTGGTTCCTAGGCCGTGGAGCTGATGTAGCTCAAGTTCAAATCCTGGCCTCATTGCTTGGTACCTCCTGTGTCCACCATGGTTGGTGGGTTGTCGTTTTGTTTGGTTTTAGACAGTTTCTCTGTGTAGCCCAGGGGTTCCTGGAACTCACTCTGTAGACTAGGCTGGCCTTGAACTCACAGAGATCAGCCTGCCTCTGCCTCCTGAGTGCTGGGATAAAGGTGTGTGCCATTACCTCCGGGCTCACAGCTGCCTCTTAAGCAGTGAGAAGGAGGTGAGTTCATTCTCTGTACAGATTTTGACCCCACTCTGCTCCTCCCCCACTTCCCTGATTCCCAGCCTCTCTCATTCTGTGGGGTTCCCCCAGGCCAGGGCCTTAAGGTTGACTAATCCTTAAGGCTCTTCCCCAAGGGTCAAGCAGCATAGGTGTCTTCATAAATGTCTTCAAATGTTTTGTTTGTTTGTTTTTTAAAGAAAGAGCCTCACTTTGTAGCCCAGGCTAGCCTAGAATTCACTATGTGAGACTGATTGGCCTTGAATTTAGAGATGCATCTGCCTCTGCCTCCTGAGTACTGGGATTAAAGGCATTCACCAGCACAACTAACCACCCCCCCTTTTCTTTTCTTTTTTTTTTTAACTTTATTTTAATTTTATGTGCACTGATGTTTTGCCTTCACGCAATGTGTGAGGGTGCCAGATCCACTGGGACTGGAGTTAAAGACAGTTGTGAGCTGCCATGTGGGTGCTGGGAACTGAACCACGGTCCTCTGGAAGAGCAGCCAGGGCTCCCAACCACTGAGTGTGGTGTCTTCAGCGCCCTCCCTCTTTTCTTAATAAACAGGGTATCGTGTAGTCTAGGCTGGCCCTCAAACTTGCTGTGTCATTGAGAATGACCTTGAACTTCCGTCTCCATCTCCCAAGCACTAGATTAGAAAGCTGCACCACCGCGCCCAGTGTATGTGGTTTATGTTTGTAACACAAATGAGGCGCTGAGGTACCAGAGAGAAGGGCGCCTTTCCAGAGAGAGAGTCACCAGGAAGCCCGGCTTAGTTTTCCTGGTCCCAGCCCACATTTTCCTGGCTCCAGGATGAACTATGCTACTTCCCAACAGTGATGGACTCCTTCATGCCCCCTCCTTTCCCGAACAAGTTCCATAGAGTTCATTTTCTTTTCCTGTTTCCCCACCAGCTGGAAAATTCTGGATCTGGAAGTGATTTGTAGTGAATTTTAGGCTTGTTCCAACAGGCCCACCCTTACTCAGAAAGTAAGAGGTAATAAGAGCTCACAACCCGCCCCCCATCACACCCAAGGATGTCAAGGCAGAGTTGGGGGACAAATCAAGGCTGGTCTTGGAACTCTTACATGGAGATCAAGGATTCCAAGGGCTTTGGATGTCATCAACAAGGCCTAGGCTAAGAGCCAAGGTGCCCTCCAAAGGCTGAAAGGCAACAGAGGTGCCTCTTTTCCCAAGTCCCCAGTGCCTCAGAGAAGACACCCCACAGTTCCTCTCGCCTTAGCTCTCCCTGGATCGGCAGTGCGGAGGCAGGGCCTTCTCTGTAGACCTCTGATATTCCTGCTCAGGGATGGAATCTTCACTTTGCTCCAAAAGGGATGGAGATGAGAGGTACAGGAAGGGAACAGGAACTCTGAGGAGGATCTGGAGATCCCTGAGGGGAAACTTTGTAAGGGTGGCCTTGGCACCGTGTCTGTGGGCAAGGTCCTCAGGTGGTTTTCACTTCTCTTATCTCCGTGGAGCTTTCTCATTAAATATCTGAGGGTTGCTTAGCCGAGTCCAGAGGCCTGTCAGCAGCTCTGACATCCAGGTTCCAATCCACATTCCAGTGTCTTGTTCTGAGACCAGTCAGGCTAACTCCACATCACCCTCCTACAGATAGGTGATTTCATCAATGCTGGGCCTGTGCCCATCTAGAACAAGGCCAGAGCGAGGAATAGCAAGTCCCTGCTGGGTTTCTCTGTGACTGTCCTGGAGGTCTAGCAGCCGCCAGTGGATGAGGTAAATGCCGTTCTCTGGTTTTAGGGCTGGAGGCTCTGTAGGGAGGGTGGCATGGCCCTGGTGCAAGGTCGGCCCAAAGTGAACTGCCAGGATGATGCAGATCGCTAGTAGGACAAAGGCAGCGATGATGGCCGAGAGGAGTGGCAGTCCGTCCCCTCGAGGCGGTTCCCAGACCTCACCTAGCATCTCTGGGAGCTGCTTTTGAGGTTCCTGTTCCAATGAACCATTCACAGGTGGAGAAGGCTGGGGATAGTGGCCATCCTGGGGGAAGAGGAGAGATGGCCGAAGTTGGCATGGGCATCGACATACAGAAAAAGGACAGAGGAGAGGAAGGGATCTGAGAGACAGAAATCCCCAGAGACAGTGACGGAGGGGAGAGAGAACGAGAGGAGGGCCTGAACACACTCAAGAACAATAAACTGAAAGACAAAGACATTGCGGCTACGGGGGTGGGGGTGGGGGGGTGGAGAAGTAAAGACAGACAGAAATGAAGCCAGAGAGAATGACAGAAAAGCAACCCCCCTGAGAGACAGGGTGTTAAAGTCATTCCGAAAGGGCAAAGGGAGAGGCTTCGTTATAGTCCGGCATTCTAAATACAGTTTGCCCCCAAAGTCTCCTCTCAATGCTCCCTCTTCCCAGGTCTCCGGCAAGAGTCACAAATAGATCTGGTGTTGCATTGGAAATCTGAGTACTCTTTGGGCTGCTGCCCCACATCCTGGGCAGTGGGCAGTGAGCAGCAGCTGCTTTGAGATGTTCTGGAAAAAGGGAGTCATTGTCTAGTCCCGGAGGCTCCCCTATTCCGAGTCACTGGGAAGCAGAAGAGTGGTACCCTGGGCAGGGGATAGGAAGAGGGGACATGAACCCCAGAAACTAGGTGTGAGGTAGGATGTATGCCCATACCGTCATCATAAGTATGTCTCATTCCCTCTAGGGCCTGGGGCCAAGTTCTAGAGGCCTGGATAGGGCTGGAGTCTGGTGTTGATTCCTGGTTATGCGCAGGATGGGTTGAGATCCTGCACCAGGCTACCCTTGCCAGGATCTCTGGGTCTTTCTGCCGTTAGTTATGTCCTCTATGCGGAGGACTAACCCATGTCATTAGTGTGTCCCTGCCCTGCTGGATATTGAGTAGGGACGAGGGATCTCGGTGAAGGAAGGGAAGCCCAGAGTTAGGGAGGTGGTCCCCCTCCCTCCAGCCATCATTCTACACTGGGAGTTGGGGGCCCCTCTAACTCTGAGCCTTCGGCCTGGCCCACTCTGTAGACGGCAGCTGGAGCCACGAGAGGCTGATCAGACCAAACTATTTCCTTTTGTCCCTCTCTCACACTGTCCCTAGATCCCAACTCAATACTTGTGCCCGCGCAGGGCCGGGCTGGGGGGCTGGGGGGCGGGTCTCTCATGGGCCTCCAGGCAGGGGCAGGAAAGCAACCCCAGGTGCACAAAGCGGGAAGGAAGCTTAGGTTGGGAAGGGTCTAGGGCCCTATAGGGAGTCGGGCCAGGCTGGCAGGAAGGGGCGAGCAAAGAGTCTACCTGGTGCATTGTCCGGGGCTGGAGTAGCGTTCCCTTGGGACCGGATACCAGCTGGGCAAAGGAAAAGAGCTCACTGCCCTAGCTCAGTCCCTACCCGGAGCTGCCACGTCTGCGGTGCTCCTGGGCACACACCCTCTGCACACACCCTCACCGTTCTTTCCCGCGCCTGTACTTACAGGAACTCCTAGGCTACCCAGGGCCAGCCTCCAGCTCTGAGAGTACCTTGATCTTCCTCCTAGGCACTTCCTTTTATGCCTCCTGCTGCTCAGGAGCCTAACTTGCCCTGCCCACTTCTCCTCCAGCGGATTCCGGACACCTGGCCGTCATCTATTCCCTCCCTAGGACCTGCCCACTCTCATTTCCTGAAGCTAAGGTCCTTTGCTCTTCCTTGTTCTATGTACAACATTTCAAGCATGACAGAGTATAGATCACATACCCTACATAATAGACTGGATATCATGCCTCTGAATCTCTGTAGCCCAACAACTCTGTCCATCCATTTTTTGCTTTACCACATTTATTTCTAAAATGTTAAGAACTAAAATAGTTCTCTGAATTTATTTATTGTGTGAGTATGTATGTGCATATACATGGTGTGAATGGGGGCACTTGTGTCATGCATGTGTGTGGAGATCAAAGGACAACTTTGTCCAGTTGTTTCTTTCCACCTTTATGTTGGTTCAGCCAGGCTTGCACAGTAAGCATCTTTGTTTGCTAAGCCAGCTATTACTCTTGTTGTTGTTTTGAGACGGGGTCTCTCTGTGTAGCCCTGGCTGTCCTGGAACTCAGCCTGTAGACCAGGCTGGCCTTGACCTCAGAGATCCTACCTGCCTCTGCCTCCTGAGTGCTGAGATTAAAGGCATGTGCCAGCACCCTCTGGCAAAGCCATCTTTTAAAATTTTTATTTTATTTACTTTAACATTGTGCATTAAGTAGAGTTGTATTTAGATTTATTTGTCTTATTTTGTGTATAAAAGTATTTGTGTGCATGTATGTCTGTGCACCATGTACATATCTGGTGGCTGAGGAGCTCAAAAGAGGGCATCAGATCCCCTGAAACTGGAGTTACTGATGGTTGTGAGCCACTGTGTGGGTACTTCTAATGGAACCCCAGTCCTCAGCAAGGGAGACAAGTGCTCGAAACCACTGATTCATCTCTCTAGCCCTGATTTTTAGCCAACACATAGTCATTCTATATACATATGGAATATAATGTAGCCGCCTTCCTCCCTGTCCTTTGAGACAGGGCTTACTGTGTAGATCTGGCTGACCTGGAACTCCTGATCCTTCTGCCTGCAGAGTGCTGAGATTGTAGGTCTAGGCCACTGTGCAGCCAGTGGGACGTTAATGCAGTACACAGATACGGAAACATCGGCTGAGGGTGGTAGCTGGTACATCTACCACTGCAGGCATTTTTTTTTTTTTTTGCAAGGGTGGAGAGGTGGGGTAGTGAAGAGGGTAGGAGTCTCTCCGGGATAAACCACAAACCTGCTAGACAAAATTCTAAAAGAGCCGAAACACTTCACTGTAAAGATTTGTCCTTTTTCTGTGCTGAGAACAAGGACCTGAAACGTCCCCAGCAAAACAGAAGTCCCAGGCTGGTGATATGGCTCCTCTGGTAAAGGTGCTTGTTCCCAACACTGATGACCTGAGTTTGGTCTCAGGATCCACATGGTGGCAGAAGAGATCTGACTCATACAAGTGTCCTCTGACCTACACACACTATGGAATGCACCCCCTCCCAGTACACACCAAAAATAAATGTTTTATAACATATAATAATATCTACTAGAAATCCTCACTTCCTTACCTCAACACACATTTGTTTTTACCTTATGATAACCAACCAAACACCTATAGAACTCTGATTTATGTCCCTTTGCAAGGCACTCTTTCCTTTCTTTTTTTTTAAAAAAGATTTATTTATTCATTTTATGTATATGAGTGCTCTATCTGCACATATGCCTTTATGGCAATGAAGACAACAGATTCCACTATAGACGGTTGTGAGCCACCACGTAGTTGCTGGGAATTGAACTCAGGACCTCTGGAAGAGCAGCCAGTGTTCTTAACCACTGAACCATCTCTCCAGCCCCTTCTCTATGGGTTCTGTTTGCTTTGTTTTATTTTTGTTCTTTTGGTTTTTTTGTTTGTATTGTTTTGTTTATTTGTTTTTCGAGACAGGGTTTCTCTGTGTAGTTTTGGCGCCTTTCCGGGATCTCGCTCTGTAGACCAGGCTGGCCTCAAACTCACAGAGATCTGCCTGCCTCTGCCTCCCGAGTGCTGGGATTAAAGGCCCGCACCACCACAGCAAGGCACCTCTCTAATTTTTTAAATTAATTAATTTGTTTTTGAGATAGGGTTTCATGTGGGTTAGATTGGTCTTAAACTCACTATGTAGCTAAGAATGACCTTAAACCCCCAATCTGGCTGGGCAGTGGTGGCACACGCCTTTAATCCCAGCACTCGGGAGGCAGAGCCAGGCGAATCTCTGTGAGTTCCAGGCCAGCCTGGTCCACAAAGTGAGTTCCAGGAAAGGCACAAAACTACCCAGAGAAACCCTGTCTCGAATAACCAACCAACCAAACAAACAAACAAACAAATAAAAAAAACAATCTGCCTGCCTCCATCCCCTGAGTGCTAGGATGGTAGGCATATACCATCATAACCAATGTTCTGTGTTTTGTCTGAGACAATCTCATTAAGTAGCCCAGGCTGACCTCAAACTCAATATTCTCCTGCCTCAGACTCCTGAGTACTGGAATTACAGATGTTCACTACCCCTCCTGGCCTAGTTTTTCCAAGGCAATTTTTGGTCCCAATTTGCTGCCCATAACCAGCCATTCCTCATCCCGCCCTGGAGGCAAACTGGCCTCTATTCATACGGAGACCAGTAGACTCCCGGAGGATCCCCTCACCTAGTGACTCGAAGCAATGAGTATTAACAGCTTTTTGGTTTCTTGTCTCTTAGCCAAGCTGCCCACACCCTGTCACCTCCACTGAGTCCAGGGCTATTGACCTGACCCTCAAATTACCCGAGGCCTCTTGCTGGTGAGTCATGAAATCTCCTACAGATCATTTCCCCGAGCCATTGAAGGTTCTGGTGATCTACCTCCCACTTTGGTCCTCTTGGATCTTAGCCAGAGGGAATCTGGACTCTGCCCCAAGTCAAGACCTTCACTTTTAAGCTTGGGAGAGGAAGAGTGTGGACTTTCTGGCCCCAGGCTTCTCCATCACTTTCCTGTGTCCACACTCACCATTACAACCACCCCTCTCCCCTTGCTGTGTAAGCCTAATCATCTGGCCTCATTAGTTTGGGCATCACCCCTTCCGGAACGTATTCTTCAGCTCTTGAGGCCGGAATAACCTTTCTTTTCCTTAAACTCTATACAAGTGTGTTTCTTACCTGTTACTAACACGTGCTTTTCCTTGTGTATCTCCGTGTATATGATGCGTGTGGACTTTTGTGGGGGTGCATGTTCATGTGTGTGAGTTTGGGCATGCTTGTGACATGGCATGTACGTGGAGACAGAGACAACCTTGGGTGTCAGGCTCACCTCCCACCTTGTTAGAGGCATCTCTGTTGTTCGCTGTTGCATACGCCAGGCTCCCTGGCCTGAAGGTTCCCGGGTACTCTGCTTCCCATCTCACCTAGGAGCACTGGGATTGTAGAACCCCACCACCACACCCAGCTTTACATGAGTTCTGGGGATTCGAACCCAGATCCCCACTGAGCCACCTCCAAATCTACCTATTTCTAACACTGTCAAAGGTCATCTGAGACAGGACGTTTGAGGCCATCCTGGGCTACAGAGTAAGAGTCTGTCTCAAAACAACAAACTAAAATAAACGAAGCCACAAATGTACATAAAGTAACAATAATATTTGGAGAAGAAGAGGTCATGAGTTTGAGAAGGAGCAGGGGAACACAGGAGGAGCTGGGAGGAAGAGGAAGAGGAAGAGGAAGAGGAAGGGTGGGAATGATGTAAACACAGTACTCACCTATGAAATTCTCAAAAACAAATTTTTAAATAAACGAAACAAAATATACAGGGTTTTGAGAGATGGCTCAGCAGCTTAAAGTTCTTGCTGCTCTTTCAAAGGATCCATGTTCAGTTCCCAGCAGTCACATGTCAGCTATCATCTGTAACTCCAGTTCCAGAAGATCTGACGCCCTCTTCTGGCCTGAAAGTGCACTCCATGCATGTGGAATACTATACATGCAGGCAAAACACCCATACACATTAAAAACACAAATAAATAAATCTTTAAGAGAAAAAATAGATAAGAAACAAACAAAATCAAAACCAAAACCAGGGTTTTGAGAGAAGGCTCATCAGTTAAGAGCACTTGCTGCCCTTCCAGAGGACCTGAGTTTGGTTTCCATCACTCATATCAGGTGGCTCTCAACTACCTCTAACTCGGCTCCGGGGAAAGTGATACCTTTTCCTGGCCTCCATGGACACCCATATACATGTGACATGCACTTACACAAACACACACAAATACATCAATGAAAATAAAATACTTAATTTTTTTAATTTGAATTTAATTTTATGTGATGGGTGTCTGCCTGTGCTTATGTCTGTGGAGCACGCGCATGCCTGATGCCTAGCATTGGATTCCCCAAAACTGGAGTTAGAGATGGCTGTGAGCCACCATATGAGTGTTGAGAATTGAACCTGGGTCTTCTGCAAGAGAAATCAGTGCTCTTAGCTACCGTGCCATATTTCCAGTCCCTAAAAAGCACTTAGGAGGCAGAGGCAGGTGGATCTCTGTGAGTTTGAGGCCAGCCTGATCTACATAGTGAGTTCTAGGCCAGCCTGATCTACATGGTGAGTTCTAGGACAGCCAGAGCTGTTATACAGAGAATCCTGTCTTGAAAAACCAAAAAGAAAAGAAAAAAAAGAAAGAAAGAAAGAAAAAGAAAAAACAAACCCCTTTCAAACAAGGGCCAGGATGTAGTTCACTGGAAGTGTGCTTACCTCTCTTGTACATGGCCCTGAACC